CGGATGATTGCTCAAGGGAAATCAAGGTACTGATGCCGTTTTGAATGGATTCTCCTTTAGGCAACAAGCCTTGGTGGCAGTTCGGGCTCCGTTTCGGCTTTCACATGATTTTCAGAACCATCTGCATTCTAAAAGTGGGGGCCATCTACTTCTTTAAACTTCTGTAAGGGTTCCATAGAAAGTGCATGCTACCAGTGTTTGCCAACACCACCCTGCTGCACTCCCAAACAAAGCCGCTCGCGGGCGCAAAAAGGGTCGACCGGCCTTGTTGGTCTCATCATGCGCAAAGTTGGACAGGGCGAGGCACGCGAAATGCTGAACTCTGGGCTCGTCCTGTCCAAAAACGGGGCAGGGAAGTTCCCAACGGGTCCTGCAATATTTGCAACCCCGTTTTGAGGAAAATGTGGCCCGCTAAACTGCGGCCTCGGAGCCAATCAGCCGGGTGTTGGCTTCATCATGAGCAAATGATTACCAGGGTGAGCAGATTAACATCTGAAGCCTGTTGGGGGAAAAATGATCCAAGCCAGCCTCTTCCATTCGTGCGGTCACATGCTTCTAAAATGCAACACGTGTCTGGCCGAAGGCCAGCAAATGCAAAGCGCCAAGGCCAGAATGGGCACAGTTGGACAAGCCGTGCGCGGAGAACGGTCCATGCAATCGGTCCTGCCAAGCGTTCATAGCGTGCATCACCATGTCGATGGCTCCCTCCTCACTGGTGGAAGCAGCATGGTAAAAGCAAACATCAAAAGAACAAGAACAGAACTACTAAGGAGCTACTAAAGAACTACTAAGGAACAAAATTGCCAGGCTGCTCCTGACTAAGCTGGGCGTCACTTGGTTTGTCAGGGGACTTGTTGGGTGTTTGGTTTTCTTGTTTGAGAGGAAAGGGGGTGACAAACGCCCTCTCCCCTTCAAATCTTGCACCCAGAAAAAGCGCCCGCCAAAAGGGCTCTCGTCCAGAAATCATGGTTTTGGGACCTCATGTTCACCGCAAGTTGAATCTCATCTTGAACTTTGGAGCATATAGAAGCGGAGGGCTGGAACAAAAATGACCGTCAACTTCCGCTTGGAGAGGCGGCCGCGCAGAATGCGAACAGGTGCCAAAACCGCAAGATGTGGACAACCCCCCCCTCAACCCCCCCCCTCGCCCACCCCACACAAGACCCAAAAAAAAGAGACCGGCCCTCCCAACTCTCTGTCGCTCGCGTCGCTTGCCTTGAGGATCACCGCGCAGTTGTCCTCCGCGGTGGCCAGGTTGCCCAAGGCCCCCAGCCCAAAGGCTTGGATGCCCGGGTGGTTCTGGTGCAGCCGCAGGCCCGCCAGCACGGCGTTCACACCCTGGCTCCTCGAGAGGCCAAACATGGAACTTGTTGAGTTAAGTGAACAGCATGTTCTCTTGAATTTCCCAATGGAGCAAACGACCCAGGGTGGACTCGAACCACCATCATCGCTGCGGTGCCCCACCCAATGAAGGGTAAGGCACCAGCTGCTGCTGGATGCAGAAGCAACGCCTTGCCCATTAGGCTACTGGGTCAGCTGCATATCTCTTGTTTTACTTTTATTAAAGTCATATTTGGAAGGTATAAGGACCCTCCAAATGGAAGATCGAGTTCGGTGGCACGGGAGGATTCCTCCGCCCAGGAGCCAGGTGGAAGGAAACCCAAAAGCATTCGATCGCGAACTCAGCATGCAACCAATGCATTTTTTTTCCGCTGCTCCTACCCAAAACGGCACGAACTCTCGCTTCTCTCTGGGATTCCTCCAATGTTTTTTAGACCGAGTTGCAGAGAGACCCAAAGGAAACAAGCCATTTGAACCCCCACCCCCTCACCACCCCGCGCGATTTTGACCAACACCCCTTTTCGATTTCCAGCGAAGCCGCCCACTCGACTGTTCCAGCCCAGGCGCCGGGCGATATGGGTGCGGCTGGCCTCGTCCAGCGCCAAGTTGGCGATGGCAGCGCAGCCCTGCTCCCCCACCTGACGGACATTTCAGGTCGCCACTTGAACATGGCCCTCTCGGATCCCAAACATCCCATGGTCACCTAGGCCGGGATCCCTTGCCAATGGCTCTTCAGCCATGGTTCTTTTTGCCAAACTTTCGTTTTTGGCGGCAGATCCCAACTCCATTTGGCCATTCTCCACATCGACTGTCTTTGTGGTTGCACGTCCACTTCGGAATCCATCTCTTTGCAGCAATCTGGGGAGATTGTCACGGAACCGCAAAAATAATCCATTCTAGGCCCCCCCCCCCGGTGATCAAATTCATACCCACTTCACAGTCACTTTTTGTCCAAGGGTATGTGTTAAAAATGTACCGAAGTCTTCCACTGGCTGGACGCGCCCTCTCTGGCCCATTCCCTTTCCACCTCCGGATGGGACACGTGGTACTTCATGGAGTGCACGATGAGCTCAATGCCGCCTTCCCTCAAAGCAAAGCGCGCAAAACAGGAGGAGACCCAGTAGAAAGCAATATGGCAGTGGTTCAAAGCCAATGGTTCCATTTTGGGATAGGTGCACCACCCATTTTGGTCTATTTTAGTGGGGATTGGGATGTTCACTGGGGGTACGGGGTTTTGACCCATGACCATATCTAAACACCAGGAAGACACGAGGACACACCGGAAACAAGGCCTTTATAGTCCTGTCTCCGGGGCCACGCTCTCGCTCTTTTGCCCTTGAAGCAATGTGGTTGGCGTGCAAACACTTGATGCACGTGCCTTTGGGGCGTAGCGGTCGGGTAATTTCAGCTTGGCCATCTGGGAGATTCTGTCTCGTATTTAGTCCACCCTGAAATGCAACATAGTCAGGAGGGAGGGGACAGCATGCGGCCCCCATTGATCATGGATCGCCCCTGGATCTTGGCTTTATTACAAAGAGAAAACCGGGAGAACACAGGCGAAAAACGGCCGTGAAGGCCGTGCAATGTCATGCACCGCCCTCCTGCGTTGTTTGGTTGACTTGCGGCAACTCATCTGATAGAGCTTGATCTGGGGGTGTGCTGATCCATTCTGAATCGCCATCCCAGGACCATCTGCATCAGAAAGTAGGATGTCCGAATAAAACTTAAGGACCAAATGTTCAAAGTGTCTTGGTCTACGAAGTCTTGAGTGATTCTCGTATCAAACATGTTAACCCCTAAGCCCTTGAGCTTGCCTGAGCTGACGCATTAGAACAGAGAAAACAGCTCTCGCTGGCACGGTCTGGCCCTGACGCCAAGTTGAGAAGCAAACTCATCCACTCAACAGGTCCCTTTCGGAGGCTTCATGAGAATTGTCTAGGGAAGTATCACCCCAACCCGCTTCCAACTCTTCTCAGCCTCTCCCATTCTGCATTCTACTTTAAAAAAAGAAGAAGAATAAAAACACGGCGAACAAAACACACTCTCATCCGTTCCCTTGTGGTTTCCTTTAAAAAAAACAACTAAACAACAACAGCACACGGCCCCCCATCCCGCCAACCCCCCCCCCCCTTCCCCCCCTTCCCCCCCTTCCCCCCCTTCCCCTGGCCCGGGCTTCCGCACCTGTGGATGGCCTCCCGGGACACCTGGAACTCCCCGAGGTTCGCAAAGGCGCGGCAGCCCTTCCGCTGGATGCCCGTGTCGGCCTGACCGCGCGGCTCAGGGGACATCTGAGGCTGGGGCTCAGACATCCATCTCCTTCTTGGAAGAAGCAAAACCAAGGGAACCAAGGGAACCAAGGGAACCAAGATCCCCTCTGGAGTAAATGGCTTAGTGAAAGAAGAAAAATAAGGGAACCGTGGGTGGGATTCAGGCCACAAACAAAGGGGAGCGTGGCTCTCGGACGACTTGGCAAGACCTTTCCTTGCTTTTCCGTTGTTGCAAGACAAACTCTTCTCGTCCCTCATAGTTCCGAAAACCCTTGCGAGAATTTAAACTGTTAGCGGGATATTGCGTACATCCCTCTAAACTCCAGTCTAAAAGGGATCTGTGTTGACCTTTTGGGATGATTCTGCTTTTTTGGGGTACCCGGGTTGGTTTAAAGGAAACCAAAAGCACAACAACCCACTTTGGGGGTGGCCCTAGTTTGACACAAACCCATTTAGGCTAAGGGAACCCAAAGAGCATTGTCCCCTACTTGGCCGCCGAATGCTTCGGTTGTAGATGGGCTTTCCTAAGTGAGCACCGGACTGCCGCTTGTCGGCCTTTTGTGGTTGCTTTGTTCCTTTTGACAGGGAAAAACCAAAGGGAAGTTTACGCACCCATTTCCGCGGTTGCCAGAAACTTAGGCGAAGCGAAGGGTGTCGCTTCCTTCCTCAGGCTCGATGACCTTTGGGTTGTAGGAAGCCAATAGGAAAGGAGTCCCCATTGGTCAGGAACAAGCCGAAGGGAACATACAACCCGTGCCTCCGGGCGCTATTTTGATCACCATGGTGTTCCCTACCATTGAAACAGCGGAGCAGAAGGTGACGTGTACAACACACAATCAGATCTTGAGACGATTTCGTTGGTCTTGTGGGGAATTGTCAGGCCCCCTTCAAAGAAGAGCCACGAAACTGAACAGGGATGCAGCACGGGCCCACCTATTTACGAATAAGTTAATCAGACTGCAGTGTAGCCCAAAGGTATGAAACCAGGTAGTCCAGGTATGAATTCACTTGGGGGCGACAGTCACGCCCTGCAGTGGGCTTTGAAAATATATCTTGAAACGCCCGACTCCCAACTTCCGCCACTTTTGCTGGCTTTGCTTCCATCTCAACACGCGTGCAAACGCAACACGCTCTGAGGGCCCAGCTGGATTGAAAGTGCTTTGCCCATGAATCTTCTTAGGACGCTTACTCGATGACTCCTCAACTGCACCAAGTGTGGATCCATATAAACACCCCATCTGGTTGCCATGATGGCGGTACCACGTCACATGGCAGAACGGTATGTCCATGATTTACTGAAGGAAACGGCGCGCAAGCGACTGATTTGCCGTGTTGCAGGTGTTTGGGGCCGTCAATGTTCATCCGGAAGAAATACCAGCCTTTCAGCACCCG